GGGAGAGGGAGAAGCAGGCTTCCCGCTGAGCAGGGAGCCCGATGCGGGGCTTGATCCCAGGACCCTGGGATCATGACCTGAGTTGAAGGCAGACGCTTAACAACTCAGCCACCCAGGTGCCCCCATCATGACTTTTTTTTTTAAAGATTTTATTTATTTATTTGAGAGAGAGAGTACATGAGAGGGGGGAAGGTCAGAGGGAGAAGCAGACTCCCCGCTGAGCAGGGAGTCCGATGCAGGACTCGATCCCGGGACTCCAGGATCATGACCTGAGCCGAAGGCAGTCGCTTAACCAACTGAGCCACCCAGGCGCCCCCATCATGACTTTTAAATGATGAAAATTTTCAGATACAGAGAAGATGCCTGACACCTAAGGATCTACCATCCAGATGTAACAAGGGATAACATCCTGCCATGGATGCTCTATCTTGAATTTTGGGGAAAAAAAAAATCTTTGGTATCCTTCTCTGCTTGTTCTTTCAGGTTAATTTCACTATGTATTTGCAAAATACAGTAAGTATTCTTCAGAGACTTTCTTGGCTTTTCATTTTACCTTCATATTAACTTGGAGAAACTGTGACCTTTACTCTTTCGTTTTTCCAAATCAGTTGGCTCATTTCCTCCCCTATTTCTCCCTTTGGGACTTAATTTTCTTTGATTTGAGAAAATGCCGTGTCCTGAGTAAAGTTAATATCCTTGCATTTAGTCTTTGTCAGGTGGGGGTGGGGCAGTGTTAGCCAGGTGATCTTTCAGGAAATTGGATAGTTGTTTCTCTAAGCCCTTCTTTACAGCCCTGGGATCTTCAAATTCTCAGAATTCGAAGTAAACAAGTGACTTTTTTCGTTTCAGGGCACACCAGTTTCCCTGTTACCCAATCAGTTTTTGTCTTAGATCCCTTATTAGAGGAATAAATACATTCCATATTTCCATTCTGTTAGAACAGAGTCAAGTGTAGCATAGTACTTAGAGACTACAGACTCTCACCTTTTCAGTGCCCAAGGGGAAACTAGAGGTAGAGACCTGGCGCATCCTAGTATTATACAAAAGTAATCCCCGTCATTGTTTTAAGACATTAGTGCTGTATTATGCTGCAACTTGCTTTTAAATTGCAGGGATAAGAGGCAGTGGTTTCAGAACCCAAGGACAAACGCCCAGAGCACCCACACAAGACTCCATACAACAAAGGCTAGCTCAGAGGGGTGAAAGAGTGTGGCGGGTACTGAGCACAGTGCGCGTTCCTTGCCATTTCCATATTCAATCACTAGAGGGCGAAGCACACAGGAAAACCCCACCTGGAGCCCCAGGCCAATCAGTCCGCAGGAGTCGTCACTCAGGTGGTTTGGGGTAGGTACTTAGCCGTCAATGTCTACAGATGCATTGCTCTCCCAACAAGGGCAAAATTCACAAATATCATCAAGTAGGTCACAAGGTCTCCTGCCAGAAGTGGTTTCCAGCCAGCTTCTGAGGCAGCTGTCCCAAACTAAGCACAAAGAGAGGGGAAAAGGGATCACACCGGTGCTGAGCACTTAATGTGTGTGCATCAAGCTCTAATTTGAGCTTCACTAACATGGGCTCATTCACACCTCACAAAATCCTGTGGCAGGAGTCTCTGCAGGAAACTGAGATGGAGACTCATGTTAAACCAGGGTCACAGAGCTACAGTGTGAGGAGTGACCCCAAAG